ACAAAACTGTCCACTGTGAACTTTTTTGTTGCTGTTTAAACAAAGAAAAAATAGAGAGTATTGAAGGATATATATATACACCCAGGCTTTAAATGTTAGTTTTTCTAAGTCAGTATTTATCTCTAATTACTTCCACCCACATGATAAATTCCTAAAATTGAATTATGGAATCAAAGGGTGTGGATGTTTCTAACTGTTCTTAATAAATATTACCAAGTTACCCTCCAGTAAACAGTCTAGATATATTTAAACTCAAAAAAACCCTATTTTGAAAGTTACATTGCTCTAATATTACAAAATTTAGAGGTACCATAATGGAAAATCTAGGGCAGTTTGGGAACTAAGAGGTAAGAGGTATGAGAGAAGAGACTTAAAAATCAATTCTGTGTATTTCACACTTGGAAAATTCTGATGAGTTTATGCCTCTTAAATTTCTAACTGCTGTTTTGGGTTTTTTTTTATCTGAATAAACATTTTAAGCTATAAATAAATTAGGAAGAATAAGAAGAGCAATGTCCAGTTTTCTAGGTTGCTTATAAGAGCTTTTTATACTTTGTTTTCTAGGCAGCATAAGTTTTATACATCATAAGTATTAACTATGACATAAAACCACTTGAATGATATTCACAGATTTGGACTCTATTTGTGTGAGGATAATTGTATAAGAAAGTGCTGATGAATAATGTCACACAAAGTTGCATTATTTAAAAGTTTTACTTTCTTTGGCTTGTTTGCTAAAGTAATTCCTCTTTTAAAAATGAATTAACAATATATAAGTTGCAAGCAGTGGGAATCCATAGATTTTTTAAAAAGATTTAAAAGACATATCTAGTTGCAATGTATGTCCCTTATCAAGATTATGATTTAATAAGGAAAACTGTAAAACAATTTTATGCAACAGGTAATTTATTATTTTTTTTCTTTTTCTTTTTATTTATTTATTTATTTATTTTTAATTTTATTTTGTTGATATACATTGTGGTTGATTATTGTTGCCCCTTACCAAAACCTCCCTCCCTCCTCCCTCTCCTCCCTCCCACCCAGCAATGTCCTTTCTGTTTGCTTGTCGTATCAACTTCAAGTAATTGCAACAGGTAATTTCAACCGACTGGATATTGAGCTGGATGATAATTATTTCACAGTATATACATACATCAAAACATAATGTTGTACACCCTAAATAAATACAATTTTTATTTGTCAATCATACTTCATAAAGCTGGGGGTAATAAATTATTGTTAATTATTTTAGAGATATATTATTAGAGATAGTTATCTTGAAAATATATACTGAAATATTTATGGCTAAAATGATTTTGGGAATTTGTTTTAAAACAACCTAGGGGAATGGTGAGTAGGTGAGAATATAGACGAAATAAAGATTTGCCATAAGTTGATAATTTTTGAAGCTGGATAATGGAGGGATGAATGTGTTTTATCAGGTCCATGTAATCTTGCTTTTTTGATTTTATTGCCATTAACATGCTATAGTTTTGGAAAAAATATCACTTTATATGTTTTATGGTTTCCTCATCTGTAAGATAGGATGTTGGATTCACTCTGTAGATTCTCTTCTGGTTTATAATTTTTTATTTTGGAAAGAGATGATCCATCTTATTTCTCCATCTTCACTGACAACTTTCCACCCTTTCTATCGTTGATATATCCTTCATCCCCAATGTGTTTCCAGTGTCTGTACATATTCAGTCTCCCATCATATTCTTTACTTGGCAACTAACAGCCTTTTTTATTTTGGAAAGAGATGATCCATCTTATTTCTCCATCTTCACTGACAACTTTCCACCGTTTCTATCGTTGATATATCCTTCATCCCCAATGTGTTTCCAGTGTCTGTACATATTCAGTCTCCCATCATATTCTTTACTTGGCAACTAACAGCCTTCAAGATAAGCATGCCCTTCATAGAGGTCCACGTAGTGCTTTTTCATTCTCCAGGGCTCTGATAATCAGGGCAGCAGCAATCTTGTCCCGGCCTCGCCTCCAGCTTCCACATCAGAGTATCATCTCAAGCCCAAGGCAACAAGGAAGTTAGAAATACTTGCCATAGAGTAGTTGGCAATATAGGTCAACAAGTAGCTAATTTAATTTTAGGAGAGCTCAGAGGGAAAAAACGTATCCGTTTTGGTTATAGAGCTGTACTACATTTCTTAGATTGTCTGTTTTTTAGTTTATGTGCATGTTTTATTTGAGTTTTGTGTTTTAAGCAATGACACCATCGGAGTAAAAGTTAACATTGTTTTTGTCTGAACTTTTCCAATTACTAAATGATAAAACTGACTAAAGTCATAAAACCAGTTATGATTTTTGGAAATAGATTTCTCACTATATTTTCTTCCTCCAGGTGAAACTTCAAGTTCATGCATTTGAAATTTGAAGATTTTAGAAATAATAATCCTTAATTTGGGATATTCATGTATACAGACTGTCTCTCAAATCTACATCCATAATGGCTTAAAATTTAGTTACTAACTTATACAATAATATTTTCCGTTTTATTTCTAAATGTCAATTTCCAAGAATAAAGAAAAGTATGCTTGGGAATTTTAAAAACAGTTAATGACTTTTTCACTTTATTAAATTTTATGTATATCTCTTATTGAGATGTATAAATTTTTTATGTTTCTAAAGACAAGGAAGGTACACATTTGTTGAGCAAAGATAATTGTATCATTTTGTTCTGATGTTTTCTATTTATTAGTGTGCTAGCTGCTATTATTCAGTTTTTTCAATCAGTAAAAGTTGATTAACCTTGTATGTAAATTATTTTCAACAAAGAATTGATTTTGAAAATTATTAACTTAGTTCAACCTTCATATAGGCAAAGAACAGAAGCTAAGTAGAACATTAGTTGGTAACAGAGATCTCAGAAGTTGTTTTCTGAAGTACTCTTTTTCTTATGCCTTTAAAAGATGTTATGTATTTCATTTATCTTTCTCCACACCTGAAATTTTCCTTAATCTATGTCAGTGTGTAAATATTGTATGGTGCAGCAGTGGTAGACAATTCTTTCAGTATCGTCTGGTTGTAAAGACCAGACAAAAACATAAGAAAAAATCATGTCTGGGCTCTTGAGTTTTTAAACAATTTTGCTATAAAGAAATTTTCTTATGTTATTTAATCACCTATGCATTGGCAGACTTATCTTCAGGTATAGCAAAATTATAAAATACAAAGAAAATTTAGTTGTATCCTTTAGGAAAATCTCATTTTTATACTAAATGAAGTTTTATCATGAAATATTGGTATAAATATTCAAATTTCCAATTATTCTTATAAGTATAATAAAAGGAAGTAATATGACTCTTATGGTTTATCGTTCTGAGAAATCTTTTCTGAATTTTTCTCCACTGTATAGATTTAATAGTGCAGTTCAAGGAGATAAACAGGGAAGTCAATGTAAATAGAAAGATGGATATGAAATTGTTAATTTTAGTAAAATCTTTCAAAATAATTTGTTTCCTTGCTCAGAATTTTTTTTAATTATTTCTTCCTATTGTGTTGCAAAGTACTTCTTTATCTCTCTCTCTCTTTTTTTTTTTTTTTTTGGCAACTGGCCTATATGAGGATCCAAACCCTTTTATCTTTTGTTGGTATTACTTGGAACAAATACATAGCTATAGTTTTCTCTTTTGGATAAAGTACTTTTATAGGTTTAAATCTACACTCTGTTATTCTAAAGAGAGATTTATTGTTTAAACTTACTTTTAAATGAACAAACTCAATTCAAAGCTTAAAAGGTAAAATTTTGAGCCACATTTTTTTTTAATAATTCTAAATGATATTCAAGAAGTACATTCAGTCAGCTTGAACGTTTGGTTCTTGTGTTTATATTTAAAAGTTTCTGGCCAACACAAATATCAGAGAATAATAAAATAGCTTTAATTTTAATTTTACTTGCCTGAGACCATCTTAAAATGTTTGTACTTACCAACTTAGATAAAGGAGAAAAACTGCATATTTTCTTCTGGAGAAAGCAGCATTTTCCTTAATTCTAATCCATTTTAGTAACAGTAAAATGTTTTCTGGCCCAAGAAAACTGAGAATCCTTATAAAGTGTGTTATCTGCAGTTTTTAAGTAATCAGATTTAATGTTGCTTTTGTTGTATAAAGTCTCTAAGATAAAAATGCAATAGATACAAAACTAATCTTTCCAGAACATCCTGTACAGATAAATCACAAAGGAAATATTTCAAAATGTTCAGAATACCGTCCCAGTAGGAATACACTTTGAGTAGACATAATAGTCTCTTAGTAAATTTTCTGTACTTCATGTGTTATGTTCAAAATAATGATATAACTCTTCAGATTGAAATGTAACATAGTATTTCTCATTCCAAGACCTGTAAGCATACCAAGAGGCATTCTTCTGCCAACACCAATATTGTACATTTCATGTTCAAAGTGGAATTTGTTCTGTAAGAAACAATGCTGTAGGACATTGAAAATTTGGAATTTATCCCAGGCAAAATAAAAATGGTCAGTAAAGTTGTATGTATGTATCCATGTCCCTATTTTTCAGAGGAGTCTGTTAGATCATTTAATGTCATACACTTTTACAAACTTTAAAAGTTACAGTATTTTTAAAGAAAACTCTTCTAAACCACAGAAAGGAAATGAAAAAAATGGGATTCGTATTTGATCAAAACAAAAGCTTGCATTACTAGTATTAAAAAGCAAACATTCGCCAAAATAAAAAGCCCAAACATGTATTTGTATAAAAACCTGAATATACCTACAAATTAAAAGGAACTTTTTATTTAAAATTATATTTTTCTGTGGAAACATAAGTAGTGCCAAGGGAGTTTACATCTATGAAATCATCTTTACCATTCACAGAATACCTAATCTGAGAATGTGTTTAATTGAAAGGTAAGCATACTTAAATGTAGAATGATTAGGTTGTTTTTTTAACAACAGAGAGGAGCACTCTGGTTTGTTATTCTAATATTTAACAAGATATTCACTTATCTCGTACACAGAATCTGCCTGTTACTCGTATTTTAGACAATCTCATGGAGATGAAGTCAAACCCTGTGAGTAGCATATAACATTGTACTTGTAAATTCTTGAATGTATCAAACTGACTAGTATGAAAGTGATAAAATCAGATTGAGTTTGTCGTAAACTTAATCACAGCAGAGTACATGAGGGAAAGTGCCTTTTTTTAGACATTATCATAGATTGGCTTTCTCAGCTGCTACAACCATTCTGACCAACTCTCATCCAAATTAAATGTAGATCATATCCTATATATACATAATTAAATGTAAAATCTATCCTAAGGAGTAAGTTTCCATAAATGAAAAAGAATCAGTGAGCATTAGTTGGTATAGTATAAAAAGTACCAGACCAATATAATTTTATGAAAATTAGGAGAGGAGTGCATTGTGAAATTTTTATGTTCAGATGGCACTTAATTCTTTGGAACTGAAGAAATACATTGAGAGAGAGAAATTGTTGGATATTCAGCAGACAAATGGGTAAATATTGTTAGCATTTACTTAAAAAATGGGTTTCTAAGCTATCTATTTACAGTTCAAGAAAAGAATGTAAAAATCAGCACAATCTGTTTCATAAATCAGCCCATGCTTTTACTGTGGCAACCAAGAGTCTGGAATCAAGAAAGACAACATGAACCTTCCCCATCAAAATGCTAGTTTGGGTTGATCTGAATCACTATAGACTTGGCAATAAGGCTTAGGATTCCAGACCTAAGAAAGAGAGTGAGAACAGAATCTTCAGATTAATGTGACTTGTTTTGATAATTGTTAAAACATGATTATAACAATATTAAAGGAAATTAACAAAAAACATTTTTAAGTTCACTCATGAAAATAAAGCATAATAAAAGTCTCAAAATGGGCAAGTAATATCATGAAAGGAATGGAAAAATTGTCTAATTTTAATATAAAAAGGGCTGGATTCTTCCATCTGGGCATCAATATAGCTAAAGTAGTATACAATGTAGTAATAATAGACTTTATTACTACATTATAGAATATATGAAGAAGGGGTTCTTCTTGAAAAGCCTGAGAGGTATATATTTATGACTAATTGTCTTAGAGAATACTGCTTCATAATAGGCAGTAAACTCCTGAAAGATATTATTCCAAACAATAATAAAGATTAAAAGTATAAATAAATGTAAAAATTTAGACAGATGCCAGATACACAAGGGGTTATGAAAGTCTAAGATATTCTGTTACTGTCCCTAATCTCGAAAGTGAGATAAAGAATAATGACAACAGTAATAATGATAATAGCTAACATGTGTTGCATACCGTTTTGTGCCAGGAACCATTCAAAGCATTTTTCATGTATTATCACATTTAATCGTCATTAGAACCTTCTGAGAAAAGTGCTATTATTCTTCTCATTTTATAGATGAGGAAGTTGTGGCACAATGAGGTCAATTAACTTGCCAAAGGACACACAGCTAATAAATGGCAGAGTTGAGATTTTAACAAGGCCCAATTTTCTTTTTACCATTATGCTGTATTGATTAGGGCAAGAACCATGCTCTTCATGGAATCACAGAACTGTAGAGTTTAAAGAAACATTTTAAATCATTCTAACAATGGAGGAGAGACAGCCAAGAGATGTTAAAGTTCTTCCTAAGTAACCTACTTTTAGTAGCCTAATTGGAACCCAAAACCTATAACTCCTGTATTCTTGCCTACTGTTCCCTCCAGATACACATTCCTTCCACATTTTTCTCTGTCACAGACATGTGGATGGCTAAATTGTTTCTCCAAATTGTGAAAGTCCATTTATCAGTTCCATTGACTTTTACTTTATAACTGAACATTACTGCGGATGGATATAGAATTATTTGGCATTCTTCAGTTTAGTAAAAATTCTGTCCCTTAAAAAACAAAAAGAAGTAATTTTTTTCTGTTTTGAAAGCCTTTATCTATCTGCTAGTGAGGCAGCTGCCTACACTCTCTTTTCCCTCTCCTGTTCCCAGATGGACAAGTTGATTTGGAGTCACTGAAGAGATTAGCCAAGTATACCAAATTAGACCTGGCAAGTAATCTTGAATGTATCTAATCTCAAATACTTCAGAATGCTATAACCTAATTCTAGAAGCATTCTAATCACTTAGATTTAATAAGTTTTCTCCTTTGATTTGTCTTAATTGAATAAATTCAGATTGAGGAAAGATACCAGGTTTCACTTTGCCTTGTAAATCTGGCTGGTAGTGATTTCTCGGACCCCGTGTTGAAGGATTCTGACATTACATCTGGGTTTAATGAGAGTGCTGTGATTGATTAGAAGTGTCCATCATTAGGTACAGGCCTAGATAATAGCAACACATGTAGTGTATTTGTTATTGATCAGGTTTTGGTAGGACCATCCACATTTCAGAAAAGAATGAGTTTCTTTGGCTGATTCTGCTGTGGAAGGAGAGGTGAGGAAGGAGATCTGAAGAAATTAGGAAATAATTACACCATCAAGCAGTAGAGCAGTACTTTCTAACTCCTTTAATACCAAGAAACTAAGTTTCCAGGTCAGTACAGAGGTCCACAACCCCTGAAATCCAAAAAGCTCTGAAAACTAAGATTTTGTATAACTCATTTGGTGTGAAAATCTGACCTGGACTCAAGTTGAGGCTATTTATAGTTTTTATTTACCTATTATATGTTAATCATATATTTAGCTACAGAAATGTTAGATGATAGGGTGTTGCACCCATTATATACAGTATATGTACGATATTACCTATTTTTTTAATTCTAAATTTTTTTAATTCTAAGTTCTGAAATACACCTAACTCCAAAGATTTCAAATAAGAGAAATTGTGAACCTGTATTAGGTAATTCTGTTTGTTCAGTAAAATCATGGACATATAAAGATAATGTAATAAAATTCTTTAAAAAAAAAACTTACGTACTTGAGATACTTTCAGGCCTATAAAAAAGGTGTATTTGGGGGAAGTGGTATAGCATGGTGATTAGGAACTTGGGGATTAGAACTAGACTGCCTGGATTTAAATCCTATGGTTCCCATACTTACTAGTTATGTGACCTTAGAAAAACATATAACCTCTGTGTATCCCAGCTTGCCCATCTGAAAACCAGGGATAACAGTAGTAACTACCTGAAAGACTGTTATGGGGATTAAGTGAGTAATTTCATGTAAAGCACTTAGAATAAAGTTTAGCACATAGTAAGTGCTCAGTAAATGTTAGGGGTGGCAGTTACACATTCCACAAAAGTGATAGATTCATTAACATAAAATACTCTAAGCCAAACTGTGACATTCTAAAGAGAAATTCCATAGTCATGGTAAAGTTCTATTTCTTTAACAGGAAACTGATGACTATAGATATTTTGATCCCAAAATGCTACGGGGCAATGACAGGTAAGCAGCTTCTGTCTTCTGTAGTTTGTTGTGGGTTTTTCCTGCATTCTAAAGAGAAATTCCATAGTCATGGTAAAGTTCTATTTCTTTAACAGGAAACTGATGATTATAGATATTTTGATCCCAAAATGCTACGGGGCAATGACAGGTAAGCAGCTTCTGTCTTCTGTAGTTTGTTGTGGGTTTTTCCTATCAAGAATGGAAATAAGTGATTTTTCATCATAAAGTAACACTGCTTATTAAAAATTCAAACTATATAGAAAACTGGCAAGGAAAATTGTGTACAATCTCATTACCCAGAGATAATCACTAGTAATTATACTTAGCATTTTGGTGTTCTTCTTTCCAAGTGTATATGCACATACAAATACATTTAGATGTTTACTGTTTTTTTATGAAATGAAGCAATTATTACAAACTAATTGTAGGGGAGGGGAATTTGGAATAACGTGTGTATTTTTAAGTGAATATTCTTATTGGACAAATGAAAAGACAGCTTTATGTTGGATACCAGTTATTTTGTTGTTTTATTATTTAACTGATCCATACACGCCAAGTCCCTGGGTGCCATTGCTATAAGTAACAGTTTATAGCAATTAAACATTCTATAAATAGTTTCTGAATTTGATATAAACATGGTATGATATGGTATTATTTGTTTATTATGGATGTTGTTTTTCAAGATTTAATTCATGGTGATATGAAAAATAGCCTACAAGATACAGAGAAAGAATAGACAGAATCAGGAAGAAAAAATAACTACAAGGGGTCTTTAAAAACTTCATGAAGTGTCTTATCTTTTAATTCCTTTTTTCCACAAACTTTTTGAAGTACCCTTGTAGTTGGAATAATTGTTTCCAGCACTTAAATTTAAATGAAGCTAGTTTGCCCTGTACCTTATGTCTGGGATCTTTAGAACTTTGTATTTGTCCTATGCCAAGCTTTCTCGTCTTTGTGGGCAGTCAGGACAGATAATCTAGATAGTCACTAGATAATTAAATTGTCATTCTCTTCTCCGATAGTATTTCTGGTAAATTCAAATAGCAGTTGCAGTTGGCAGGAGAGAATTTGACAAAGAATAAGTTATGGAAAGGAGAAATGAGGAGTGACTGCTGAGGGATACAGGGCTTCTTTTAAGGGTGATTAAAATGTGCTGAAATTAGACAATGATGATTGTACAACTGTGTAAATATAGTAAAAACCACTGATTGTACACTCTAAAACTGGAATTGCAACTCTTTTCCTATATTGATAATTCTCCAGCTTATATATTTTCCCTTTCTTGCATTTAGCTAACAAGTAGATACAGAAACTTTTAATCCTAAATGTAGCTTATGCGTAATGAGGAAGAATATTGGCATTGATAAGACAGATAAGCTCAGAGTTTCGTCTTAACAGAGCCTTCTCCTGAGTTATCCCATCACAATTAAATCTTGGTTTATCATATTAATAACTAGTAATGCCGTGCTATTTAAGTCTCACCTCTCATTTCATGTCTACTTTTAGAGGAACGTAAAGCACTCTGGAGGGAAGTTAAACACTGATGATGAGGCATTTTGATCAGTCAGACTTCTGGCCCCTTCCACGGAATATTCAGACAGTCCATAGAAATGAGGAAAAATGATAGAACTGTGTAATCAGCCTCTGAACAATTAAGGGAGATTATAGCTCTCTCCTCTTAGTTGAGATTTTCAAATATTACTTTTGAAGACAATCTAAATTGTCCTTATAAGTCACACTGTACAGCCTATTTTAGCAGTCAAGGAATATATAAGTCTGACTTGCAAAAGCTTTGAAAAATGTCTTTATTAAAGATCTCTTGACACCAAGGAAGTGCATTTAAAATATGTAATAAATATGTAATAAAGAAATAACAAGCTGTAGCAAAATACAGATCCCTCCTCCCATTTCTCCTTTCCTTCCTTAGTTGTTATCCTTCCCATACATGTGTTTATACAGTTTTTCCACAATTGTAGATATCCACAAATTATATGTAATATTGTTATCAGTGTGGTAAAAATTTACCACACAAAGTACATGCTTCATCAATTTACCCTATACTTGGATTTCCACTTCTCCTCCTGGGAGCTGCTGATCAATCTTCTGAATTTTACTTTAAAATCAATAAGTTGCCTCATTTCCTTTTAGACACTGAGATATGTACCTCTTCTAGCTTCTTCCTCTGTATCCCAGTTCACTACCAGGCTCTGCAGAATTAGGTGAAGGAGGTAGAACTGTAAATAAATATCTAATGGTGCATGTGTGTACTTCCCATTCCTACATTTTAGCCATAATAAAAGCCCTGGGTGAAATTTTCAGTACAGTTTGTCTTTATTGCAGCTCAGTTCCCAGGAGCAAAAATCCATTCCAAGAGGTAAGTTCCATATAAAAATTCTGTTCTCCTAGAAAGGAAAGATGAAATAATGACCAAGCAGTCTGGAGTAATATATTTGTCTTGAATATGACTTTATTATCATTAGTGCATGGCAATCTTGATGAGTTCAATTCTGTACATCCAAATTTCTTTTAAAAAAATTATGTTCTCAGCAACTGTATTTTCCTGATTTATAAAGGTGCTTATACATCTAATATTTTAAGCTTAAAAATAACTGACACAAAAATAATTCCCAGAGAAAGAAGTTTTTCAGATTGCCATGAGTTTTCTATGTGTGGAACTTTTTTCTAAAATTGGATTCCAAACATTTGTGAAGATATTGTGACTCTGATTTCATGTGAAATTCAGAGAAGCTTCTCAGTAAAAATAAATACAGTAAATAACATATGTTTGAAATTACGTAAATGCTAAGTTTTCTAGTTTTCCTGCATACGATAAATAACCTCAAACTCAAAAATGTCCTTTGGAGAAAGCTCTTTGTATTTATTTGCTATTACTTAATTGAAGAATGTAGTTATTTTCCTCTATTTATAGTTTCTGGAAAAATATCCTTTTTTTGCTTTTACCATTCAATAGATATTAGAAATTTATAAATTTATAGATTATTTAGAAACAAATTTCTTAATAGTTAAAAGCATCAAGTGCTTAGAATGTGACCTTTGGGTAGCTAGTGTTTTTTACCTCAGTTTTAGAATAGGTTACAGACTAAAACCCATGTTGCTTGAAAGTTATACCTATTTTTTTTTCTGTTTGCATTGTTAGGCAATTGTTTTTGTGGTGGGAGGAGGCAACTACATTGAATATCAAAATCTGGTTGACTACATAAAGGTACATTTTGGCCTTTTTTATTCTATTGTTTGATGTTTTCACAGTTCTATGTATTTAGAATACTAGCATTCTCTGGTGGCTGTCCTGATCCTTACATAATTCCTTTTCTATGAGGTAGTTTTAAAATCCTGCATTTAAAGAAATGCCCATTTTTCATTGTTTTCCTATTCCTATCACATTTACTTCTGGCCTAAAGTTGTACTTAATCTGGAAAATAATGTATCTCATTTGTATAATGCACTTTGCAACTCTCTAAATATAACTTCAAATGTTTAGAGACCTCAATCAAGCCCTTCATTCAAAAAGTCTCCCTTAGTGAAATAATTTACAGAATTCATTTATCTGAATAATAAGCACTTTACTCCCATCCTGTTAACTTAAATCAGCAACATACTTTTAACAAACTTGTAGTTTTTTTTGCCAGTAAACAAGAGCTTTATAGGTAGCATATAAAAAGTGGATTGCTGCTCATAGCTGAGGTTAGCAGGGAGTAACAGACAACTAAACAAAAAGATATGCAGAAAGGAACATTATTTGAAGAGCAGAAACACCATTTAAAATGCAGGGGCAACAGAATTAGCTATTGTTAACAGAATGACATTTGGTGTAGGATTTTTTTTTTTTTTTTTTGGTGGCTGGCCAGTACAGGGATTGAACCCTGGACCTTGGTGTTCTCAGCACCACGCTTTAACCAACTGAGCTAACTGCCCAGCCCTAGATTGACATTTTGTAATCTTAATTTATTCACTAAACATTAAATAATGATTATTTTTTATGGCCTTACGTCATGTAAGGCTTAAATAAAGGTAGAGGTTATTCTACAGCAGGAGGAAAAAAGCCCACATAGACAGAGGTCACAGAGCTCTAAAACTAACAGATACAACTCCTGGTGGTAATGAACGAGTCCCATAGGATTCTACTTCATCTTCAACCAACATGTCAGAGGCTTACTTAGTCCAGTGAATCCCTGACCTGTGTGGGTCCAAGTGCTCGCTGGTATAGGATCGCCAGTCACACTTGCCAGACAGAAATTAAAGGCTTTTTATTTCAGAAGACATCGACCAGGAAACAGAGAGGGTAAAGCCTACCTGATTGACTGAGGGCTGGGGTTTATATAGGTATATGTATCGGGTGAAACAGGATATTTTGAGAGATGTCCTGGATGAGACAGAATGCTTTTTGAGAAATATATACAGGATGTAGGACATCTTCAAGTGTGATGGACAGCTGCTTCCTGCTTTGCAAGACAGGATGCTTTGAGGGACATATAGGCAAGACAGGATGTCTGCTTTTGATACAATCTTAGTTAACCATTAAGGGCAAGCTGTAAAGGGAAAACAAATTTAGTTCTATAGTATATATAAGATGGTAGGGGTTTTCTTCTACATTTACACCAGGATGCTGTCTCAGTTGCACAGGACATGCTTCATCTTCAGATCATGAACCACCAAGATATATGTAAGATACCTTGGAATCAGAGGAGCCCCAATCTTGTAAAAGAAAGGGTTTTTTATAGCCCACTAGTCCCATAGCCAAAATTAGGCCACATGATCAGCCTCAAAAGCAGAAACCAAGAGAACATGGCAGAAACGAGGTGCAAACAATCTCTAAAAACAATGCTTGACAAGCTGGTATAAGTTGCCCCTTGGTCTGTCTTGACCCTAGCACAGTACTATATTAGTTGCTATTCAGTACATTTCATTTAGGTTTAGCCAAGGGTTTTCAACATGACTGTTTCCAGGTGTTCCCAGGGATAAACACAAGGTTGCAGTAGACACTTATATATTCCACATACTCCCACCCTTGGTTAAGCTTTTTCTAATCATTTATCATTCTTCTTTCTGTACCTTTTACAACATTTGTAGAACGAAAAACAAGAAAGATAAATACCAAAATACTAATCACTTGTGTAGTGACTGAAGTGAAAGTATAACTTTAAAGAAAAATTGTATAATTTCTTTACTATACAACCAGATACAAACCAGATAGTCCAGTGAGAATTTGTTCTTAATCTTGCACAAATCATGCATACTGTACAAGCCAGATAGGCCAGAACTTGTAAATGCAATCCATGTCCCTGTACTACAGAATCAGGCAGAGAAAAAGAAAAATTTTTAGAAGAAATTTAGAACCTCACCCCACTACACCCCCTTTATTTTCCTACAATATCTTAATAATCTATCCAGCGTTGATTCCCTCTTTAATTCAATGCCTATTATGTTTTGACATACATTCTATCATGCAAGTCACTCCTTCTCTTATTAGAAAGAGATGTACCTAGTTGGGAAAGTAAATGTTTCAGATGTTTGATACAATTTTCAGTCAGTCCACTTGGTATTTGGTGAGTTATATGTCAGTCTACTGTAATGATGCTTCTTAGCACATGGTTGAACTGCACCTGCAGTAATATGGGTTTATCAAATGGTGTATAACTAAGGGGTCCAAAATGAAACATTTCTGCTATGGCCTCTAATAATGTTAAATCTATTTCCTACAGCTACCAGGTGTACAAATTCAAATCCAAAATGAATGTCTATTCTGGGCAAGACCTATTGCTGTCCACCTAGAACCATAGGTAACAGCCAGTGTAATTCTGCGTGAACATGTTTTTATTTCTTGTACGTGTATACTTAGGTGTAGAATTGCTGGGTCACGTAGTAACTATACGTGTAATTGAAGAACCGCAGACTGTTTTCCAAAGCAGCTGTACCATTTTACATTCCCACCAGCAGTGTGTGAGTGTTTTGATTTCAGCACGTCATTGACAACACTTATCTGACTTCTTGATTCTGGCCATCCTGGTAGTTGTGGTAGCTCAGTGTGGTTTTGAGTTGCATTTCCCTGATGACATGACAAGCATCTTTTCATGTGTGTATTGGCCCTTTGTATGTCTTTAGAGAAATGTCTGCTCAGATCCCTTGTCCATTTGTAATTGGGTTATTTTGCCTTTTTATTATTGAGTCATAAGAGGTCTTTACGTAATTTAGATACAAGTCCCTTATCAGATATGTGATTTGCATATATTTGCTCCCACTTAATTGGGTTATTTTGCCTTTTTATTATTGAGTCATAAGAGGTCTTTACGTAATTTAGATACTAGTCCCTTATCAGATATGTGATTTGCATATATTTGCTCCCACTATGTTGTCTTTATTTTGGTTAAGTCCAGTGTATCTATTTTTTTTGTTGCTCATGTTTTACTGTCATATCTGAGAACCCTTTGCCAAGTCCAAGGTCATGAAAATTTATCCCTATATTTTCTTCTAAGAATTTTATGGTTTTCGCTCTTAACGTTTATGCCTTGTTCCATTTTGAGTTAATTTTGTGTATGAAGTCAGGTCCAACTTTATCCTTTTGCAAATGGCTGTCCAACTGTTCTAGCACCATTTGTTGAAAAGATGTTCCTTCACCAGTGAATGGTCTTGGCAATCAACTTTGTTGAAAATCATACAACAGTCAGTCAGCCTTGTTGACCATACATATACATATATATTTATTTCTGAACTCTCAATTCAGAAATATATATTCATACATATATATTTATTTCTGAACTCTCAATTCTATTCCATTGATCTGTAGGACTGTCCTTGTGCCAGTACTGTACTGTGTTGGTTACCTCAGCTTTGTAGTAAGTTTTGAAATCAGAACACGTGATCAGAGTCCTACTAATTTATTCTCTTTCAAGATTGTTTTGGCTTTTCTGGGTCCTTTGCAATTCCGTATGAATTTTAGAATCAGTTTGTCAATTTCTACAAAGACATAAATTGATATAATAGGGATTGTGTTGAAGCTGTAGATCAGCTTGGGGAGTGTTTTCATCTCAGCAATATTAAGTCTTCTGATCCATGAACATGTGCTGTTTTTCTGTTTATCTGTATTTTTAATTTCTTTCAACAATATTTTGAAGTTTTCAGATTATCAGTTTTTCACTTCTTTCATTAAATTTATTCTTACATATTTTTTATGCTATTGTTAATTTTTTAATTTTTGGATTGTTCATTGCAAGTATATAGAAATCCAATCGATTTTTTTTTGTATGTTGATCTTATATCCTCCAACTTTGCTGAGCTTGTTTATTAGTTCTAATAGTTTTTAATGGATTTTTAGAATTTACCATATATAAAATTGTGTCGTCTATAAAGTTTCATTTCTTCCTTTCCTATCCAGAATGTTTTTCCTTTTTTTTTCCTTGCCTAACTGCCCTGACTAGAACCTTCAATACATTGTTGAATAGAAGAGGCAAAAGCAAATGTCCTTGTCTTCTTCCTGACCTTCAGGGCATAGCATCTAGTCACTCTTTCACCATTAAGTAAGATGTTAACTGTGTTTTTCATAGATACACTTTAGATCCATTAAACTTTTAGTAGCTATCAAGCCCCAGTTTAATTGTCCTTGAGGGTTTTTTTAAATCCCTTTTAGTCTTATTGTTTACCTTGCTCAAATAATTTTAATATTTTTCCTACCATTCATCCATATTCAGGAGGAACTGAGCTAGTAGTAGGTCTGTGATAGTCTTCCTCACATCATCAGAAACCCATGTCAGTACAACCTTGTAGTATAAAGCAAAACACATGGCTGCAAAACACATGGCTGTGCCTGCAGGAGACTTGTAATATAGAATTAACTAACATGGCCCTTGTTTACACTAGTCCATGACACAATGGGCGAGTACCACATTTGTTGTGAAGACAAAGAACATACTATATAGTAATTCTGATTTATTTAGTAATGATGTTAATGTAACTCATAATTGCTATTTGGTATAATTGGTAAAATTGATTTCATCAATTATATTTGATAATACTGATATCGATGACCAAATGTATTGGGAATTTGACTTAATACCACCACAAGATGTTCTTTTGATGGAAGGTAATTGGCAAGAAAAAGAACTAGATTTAGTTATTAATTAATTTTACATTGAATCAGTGTATTGGTATGTTTCATCAAGTTCAATTATTATTTTTTTTCCTTTTTGTCTTTTTTACTGACCGGTAACG